GGCTGCTGCTGCTGCTGCATGCATGCATGCATGCATGCATGCATGCATGCATGCATGCATGCATAGATAATTTTTTTTTAATTAATTAATTAAATTAATTAATTAATTAATTAATTAATAAATTAATTAAATTAATCAATATAAGGAGCATATTTATATAATAATCTATCTACATATAGATGAATAATATCATCTATATATGTATTAATAGCATCATGAATATTAATATATTTATAGATATTATCTTGTTTTTTTTCTTTTTTTTCTTCTTTTTCTTCCTTTTTATCTATAGGTATACCATATGCATCTAATGCCTCTCTTGCTGCTGTTTTATTTATAATAAAAAGTGTCTCCTTTAATTCTTTTATTTCTTTTTTTATATTTTCTTCTTCTTCCTCCTCCTCAGGTGTACGTACACCTGAATTATTATATAATATAATTAATTTATTAATTAATTCATCAATTTTTTTTATAATAATAGATGAAGATTTTTCGCTCTTAACTGCAGCATCAATTGCTGCAGTTGCTGCTGCTGCTGCTTCCTTATCCGGGTGTATATGCAGCAGCAACGCCCTTATAAATGTTGCTGCTGCCTCTATCTTATCCTCAATTGTATTATTTCCTTCCCCTAAGAAATCAAATAAATTGCCTATAGCTTGGAGTCCGTCAAAGGCTAATTGTCCTGCTGCTAGTGCTGCTGCTGCTGCACCGTTGTTGTTGCTGCTGCTGCTGCTGCTGCTGCTGCTGCTGCTGCTGTTTTCATCATTTATTATACTGTTATTCTTCTTTTCCTCATCATTTCCTACATAACCATTGGTTATATACCAACCTCCTGATGCTCCTAATGCTCCTGCTGCTCCTGCTGCTCCTGCTGCTGCTGCTCCTCCTGGCCTTGCTGCTGTTGCTGCACCTGATGCATACAACAACAACCCCACCGAAGGTAAACACAATAAACGTAAAGACTTCATCTTTATTAAATAAATAAAAAAAATAAATAAATAAATAAATATATTATTCTTATTATTATACTGCAGTAGCAGCAGCAGCAGCAACAGCAGCAGCAGCAGCAGCAGCAACAGGCGGCGGGGGTGGTGTGTGGTATTATGACTGCTGCTGCTGCTGCTGTTTTTGTTGCTGCAGTAAGAAGAATAAAATAAGGAAAAAAGAAGAAAAATAAATATAATTATATTTATTTATTTATTTATAAATTATTTATATAAAAAAAACAGCAAAAATAAACATAAAAAAGAAGGTAATTATTGCTATTGTTGCTACTTTTGCTGCTGTTGATGCTGCTGCTGCTGTTGCTGCTGTTGCTGCTGCGCTGCTGGGTGCAGCAGCAAGAGGGGAGAATATACAGCACGATCTATGCTTATATAAGTATATTTTTATTTATTTATTTATTATTTATTTACTTATTATTCTTTTTTATTTATTTTTTCCTTTCTTTTTGTATATTTAGCTGCCTATACACCCCAATTTGCACACAGCACACTTAGCCCACCAGGCTGGTGGTGCCTTCGTGCTGCTGCTGCTGCTGCTGTTGCTGCTGCTGCTGCTGCGAGACGGGGACCCCCTTTTGTGTGCATATACACTATAATAATTAAATTAAATATTATTTATTTATTTTATTTATATGTCTATATTAATTAGTTCTTCTTTATCTCCCTTTTGCTGCTGTTGCTGCTGTTGCTGCTGTGGGAGACGCAGCAGCAGCAGCAGCAAAAGAGGAAGATGACTCGAAGCCTCTTGCTGCTGGCCGGCCCACTTGTTGGTGCTGCTGCTGCTGCTGCTGCAGCAGCAACAACAATAACATTTGCTGCTATTATTCCTTCATTTGCTGCTGTTGTTGCTGTTGTTGTTGCTGTTGCTGCTGCTGCTCTAATAGATAATGCATGCAGCAGCGTGTCCTTCCCTTATTTATTTATATATATGTATCCTTTCCTTCCTTCCTTAATACAGACAGCAGCAGCAGCAGCAGCAGCAGCAGCAGCAGCAGGAAATAAACAGCAGCAGCAATTATTATATAAATATAATTGATTATATTTATATTATTAATGCATGCAATAAATAAATAAATAAATAAATAAATATATTCAGGTGTATACTCAGCTACGTGCTGCAGCAGCAGCTGCATGCAGCAACAATACATATATATAGTGTATAGACACCTTATAGGCCTAGATGCATGCATGCATGCATAACATAATATTTTTATATATGGCTGCTGCTCCTGCTGCTGTTGCTTCTGTTGCTGTTGCTGCTGCTGCTATTGCTGCTGCTGCTGTTGCTGTTGCATGGCCTGCAGCAAGAGGTGTCTCCTTTTGTTTATTAAACAAGGAGACAAATTATTATTTATTTGTCTTTGCTGCTGCATGCAGCAGCATCTGCTGCCATTGGGTCGAAGACACGCACTACTGCTGCTGCTGCTGCTGCTGCTGCTGCTGCTGCTGCTGCTAGTGTAGTGCAGCAAATCTCTTAAGCAGCAGCAGCTTAAGAGTCTGCTGCTGAGGGTTAGACAATTTGTATGTTGCTGCTGCTGCTGCTGCTGCTGCTGCTGTTGCTTCTGGTGCTGCTGTTGCTTCCTGCTGCTGCTGCTGCAGTAGCGGCTACTGCCGCTGCTGCTGCTGCTGCTACTGCAGCAGTAGCCGCTACTGCTGCTGCTGCTGCTTGTCTATCCCTTCCTTAGTGCAGCAGCAAAGCATCGATATGTCTTTGCATGCAAAAAGGAGACAATCGATTGTCTCCTCTTTTATTTACTATTAATTAATTAATTAATTAATTAATTAATTAATAATAAATAAATAAATAAATAATAAATAATTAATTATATAGTGGTTATGTATACAAGGGAAGACACATACATAGACTGTATATTCTTATGTATACAGCAGCAACAGTAGCAACAGCAGCAGCAGCAACAGCAGCAGCAGCAACGACAGCAGCAACAGCAGCAGCAACAGCAGCAGAAGCAGCAACAGCAGCAACAGCAGCAAATGAGGTGTCTCCTTTTGCCTATAGAGGAGACATTTACTAAGGAGACAAAAAAGGAGACAATTAATCCTTTATTGTCTTTTTATTAATAAATAACTATTTATTTATTTATTTATTTATTTATTTATTTATTTATTTATTTATTTATTTATTTATTTATTTATTTATTTATTATTTATATGTATATGTATATGTATATGTATATGTATATGTATATGTATATGTATATGTATATGTATATGTATATATTATTACTTATAAGTATATGATTTGCAGCAGCAGCAACAACAACAGTGTCAGCAGCAGCAGCAGCAACAACAACAACAGTGTCAGCAGCAGCAGCAGCAACAACAACAACAGTGTCAGCAGCAGCAGCAGCAGCAACAACAACAGTGTCAGCAGCAGCAGCAGCAGCAGCAACAGTATCAGCAGTAGCAACAAGCTGTCCCTTAAAGACGCACAACATAATTTTTTTTTTTATTATTAACTTTTTCTTCTGCTGCTAATTGCATGCAGCAGCAGCAGCAGCAAGCAGCAGCAACTTGCATGCGTTTGCTGCTACAAATATAATAGGCAATCATTAATTAATTAATTAATTAATTTATTTATTTATTTATTTATTTATTTATTAATAAAAAGAAAAAGATTATTTTATTAAGGAAGACAAGGAAGACAGAAGGCGATTGTAGCCTTGCTGCTGCTGCTGCTGCTTGATCATCGACAGCAGCAACAGCAGCAACAGCAGCAGCAGCAGCAGCAACATCAGCAGCAGCAGCAGCAGCAGCAGAAAAAATTCAATGATTAATAATTCTTCCTAGGAAAAAAAAAGAAAAAAAAAAAAAAATAAATTATAATTTAATTAAATATAAATAAATAAAAAGAAAAAGAGCAAAAAAACACTTTTTTATTGTCTTTTTTATTGTATTTATTCGTTGCTTTTTCTGCAGCAGCAGCAGCAGCAGCAGCAGCAACAGCAGCAGCAGCAAAAGCACACGATTTATATCTTGCAGTGTATATACTTAATATATCTATTGATTTATGAATATTTATACAATAAATATATTTATTTATTTATTTATTTATTTATTTTATTAATAAATATATAATATATACCTTCTTCCTTCCTTTTTCTTCTGCAGCAATAGGTGTGGGGCCCCGGGGCCCCCCTCTACCGCAGCAGCAGCAGCAGCAGGAACAGCAGCAAGAGCAGGAGGATAAGAAGGACATTTTGTGCAGTATAATTGATTGATCTGTTGTATTTTTTATGTATATTTATATTTATTTATTTAAATAAATAAATAAATAAATAAATAATGGCAAAAGAAGAAGAAGAAGTAGGGGCCCCCTCCTCTATAATAAAAGGAGTAGAGGGGGGCCCCCCACCTGTAGATACACCTGAAGAATCGGAAAAAAAAGGGGAAAAAAGTGAATTAATAAATAAAGAAGATAAAGAAGAAGAAAAAGAAGAGAAAGAAGAAGAAATAGAAGAAGAAATAGATCCATTAGTAAATAATTTAAATAAAATTACCTCTATGTGTCCTAATTGTTATAAAGAGGGAGAAACTTTGCTACTTTTGCATAAAATTCCTCATTTTAGGGAAATTATTCTTTCTTCCTTTTCTTGTCCTCATTGTTATTATTCTAATAAAGAGGTAAGCTATTTATTTATTTATTTATTTATTTATTTATTTATTTATTTATTTATTTCCTTTCTTTTTTTCTCCCTTTTATTTCCTTTATTATTCATAAAAAAAAAGAAAATGTGCAGAATATACATATTGTATACCTGCCTATACACCTGAATATTGAATATATGCTTTCTGTGCATAATTGATGAATAGAAGTGTATAAAAACAATAAAAATAAATAAATAAATAAATAATATAATAAATTAAGTAATATTAATCCGTTTTCCTCCTTTTTTTTTGTCTTTTTTCTCCCCCTTTTATAGGTCCAATCTGCAGGCTGCCTAGCACCACGAGGTGTACGGATAGAATGCAGTGTAT